GGATTCGCTAACCCTCTCCTTAATCTACCCGCTAAATTAGCGGGCAATCTTCACGGAGCCACCGCGAAATCGGCAACCCTGTAGCAGACTACCCGTTAAGAAAAACACGAAGATTCTTTAGTCGAGCCGACAGCCGACTACGAAATCAGACACGAGTTCGCTCAATGACCATGACTACCTTACGACCTCGTAAGGTAGACTTTAGAGCTCGTCACGCCCGTAGGCTCACTCGTGAATATCGTATATGTTTCTCTTAGAAACGAGGTATTTACATGGAGAATTACATAGGTCATAATATAGGTACTTTAAAGTATTAATCGGTATATAAGTTGTGAGCGACCCGGCTCGCATATTGTATCAAAGAGAGCTCCTGGGCTTCATATTGATCCGTCAGACGGATCAGTCGTTCGTTCAGAACTCGATACTTCTTCCGAACAGGCTTCGGAGCTCTGCCCATATCGAGTAGCAAGCGTTGAGCTTTATTGCCGTGCTCTTCTTTCTGAAGGTGCGACACGATCTCGAAGAGGTTAACGTGTCGTTTCCCGACGCGACCATTGAGGGCGTGATGCCAATCCTCGATATGGTTTGTTGTACGCGCTCCGAAGTTCCTGTAATGGTTCCAGAGAACACGCGGGAAAACCGCTCGTTCTCCAACCACGTGCTTATGGAGTACGTTTTGAAGCGATCGAGAGCTTGGAAGGCTGGATGGTCTGCACTCGGAGAGTCGCCGTCTATCTGCAGCCAAGCTTCATCGATCTCCTCAGAGCACCAAACTGAGGCTGCCACGCATTTGAGGAATCTGTTCACAGCTCGATCCCCATAGTAAGGCTGTAAACCGAGCTCCTGTGCTTTCCTCCACAAAGCCTGACAGAAGTGAAAGTCACAGCCTTTCACTCCTGCTCCGGGGAAACTCTCTTGGATGGCGTTGAGGCAAGCCACTTCGAAGTCCAATTGCACCGTTGTGGGTTGGAAAACTTTCCCCACAGAGAGGGCATACTCTTTGAGCATGGCGAAGACTCGGTTGTAGGTAGCCTTGGACTTGTCCGGGAGTAAGAAATAGACCAAGGCTTGCATCTGTCCCTTGTAAAAGGCGTGAATGGAGTATAATTGGAGAAACAGCCTCGGAACCACCCGGAAAGTTCCATCCATGTATATGGAGCGAGCCTCGATTAGGATCCTCATCGATTCATGCGAAGCGAAGCCGGGGATACGATCTGACGAGCCTTGATCAAAAAGCAAGGTTTTCCCCCATTGATCTTCGAGGCAGATTTCCGAGCGAGATGAGGGCAACGGAGGGCGGATTCGAGCCCGCTCCCGTTGGAGAGCGCTTCGAATACCGTCGAACGTCGGCAACGCTGCACCGATCCCCTCAGGGTCATGTGAGGATTGTGCTCCCGAGACTGCGCTCGCCAGCACCTCATCGTACACTCTCTTGCAAGTTTTCTCAGGCTGGTGCAAGGCTGCCATTTTCATGGCGAGCCTTGTATCTCGCTTGAGGCGATCTTGACGCTCTTCAGAGTGATTGTGTTCCCCGGATTGACGTACCAGCACCGGTTCGACGTCCTTCAGAAACAGAGACGAATCGAATGAGTCAACGATAACTATGAGCGAGTGGAATTCCCTCCGACGCTGATGTCAATGGAATGAAAACGAATAACCCTAACCTTTACGATCACAATCCTCGCCGGACAACTCTCAGTTTTCTTCCTGATACATCGACAGAAGTGTTTCTGTTCTCACTCCTTGTCAACCTCGTACATGAAGTCGTTGACTCGGAAGAGCGGATTTCTCCATGCTGACGGAATTTCTCGAACGACTGTATCCATCTCTACTTCGCACGATGGGTCTGGATCGGAGCTGTTATCGGGAAAAACTCGAGGGAGAAACAATCCACAAGATTCGATCGGGAACTTCTCCTGGCTTTATTGCTAAGCTCTAATGGTCGCCGAGAACGCTGCTATGTTTTGGTTCTGAAGACACGGTTGAAGTTTGGAACCACGGCACTTCACCCGCGAACGTGACTTCCCTTCGCTGAGAACAACAAGGGAATTTTTTTCCCTCGCGGCGCCTGCTTCCCATGCGCGTCAGCGCACTTCCTCCCCGAATTGCGCAGGGAAGTAAACCTAGACCTCCGCATGCGATTATCCTGTTTCAGTCTCTAGATTTCAGAATCCAGGATCCATATTCGATGCTCTGGGATTCTGCGTTCTGATCGGCTCCCGAAGGGAAAATATAACTTGATTCCGGAGAGGATCGTTCATGGAATAGCCGAAGCCTATGATGTTGATTCAGACTACCCATGAACCCCCCTCCGCCAACCCAGCAGGACTGATTGGGAGAGGGTCAGAGAGTCCGGCTGTCGGGCCTATGGGTGTCGGGCCAATGGGCTGTAACCTTAAGTCGATCGCCAGTCACTGCCACGGTCTCTCGGGCCAGTCAGTTGTTGTGATTGGTTCGACGGATGGTTTCGCCGTTTTGTCGTGATTGATGACAAGGAAATTGAACCCCAATTCCGCAATATCATGCGTCGTGAAAACAGCAACAGGCCAGGTCCTCAGCCGACCCATCAGGAAACTATGAACCCCCTGTTGATAACGGTGGTCTCCGGGAGCCGCAGGACCCGGGGGACCTGGTCCCGGGGGATACTGGCCGCCCGGCGATCGGCGTGAGCGACCTGCCGCAGAGCACACAGTAACTGCTCTGCGTGCCAGGGCGGCAGGACGACACAAAAAAGTCGTCGGGCTGGCACCAGGTTGCCCTCGGCGACCGGATCACACTCGCCGTACAGCGCCCGAGACGCCCTGCGGTACGGGCTTTGCTCAACAATGACCAAGCTGTCCCAGACTGTTCGGGACACTCGCTCAATTACAGCGTACGTTTGGGACTCTAACCCGGGGGTATCTTCGATCAACTAAAAGCAAACAAATTGCATATTCAGTAAAACAATGACGCCGAAAAGTCCTCAAGAAGAAGGAGGCGCGCGAGACATCGCCGCCGTGAACTCGGTGGGTGGGGCATATGTCAAACTTTACAGCGCCAAGGCCCGTGACTCACACCGTGACAAACGGACATGGTCCGTTGCGCAAGCTACCCATGACAGAAGTACAGACTATCAGAAACCGCACGAGCTCAGGGGAGATTTTGAGGCGACTAGGTTGGGTGACTACCAAGAAACCATTATCATCTGTGTTCCCGGGGAACGGAGGTTCCCATATTCTTTATTTGTAGTGTGACCCATGTACCAATGCCGATACGATTCATAAAAGTGGTTCAATAAAATACTCAGGGAGACGGGAGCCTTGCGCAGAGGTTGGCCGGCGGCATCGGTCTCCAGCGGACGCACTCTCAGCGGCCAGCTGTGGAGTGGTGCGCGGGGCTGTAGAAGACAGCTGTGCAGACAATATGACAGCCGGTGCCCTAGCGGCAGTGAGTGGAGCCTGTCAGTAGCAAGAAACTCTCAGCCCACGGCGGTCACGTCCGATCCGTGGCGAGTGTAAGATAGCCTCTGGGGTTCCAATCCCAACATCATCTTTCTTGCGAAGTTTGGCTAGGCCGACGTCACTACGTCCGCCCAGTGCTAGTCAATCAGCGCACCCGTCTCCAGGAGAAGTTCAGTGATTGAGTGGTGTATTCATTGGGCTCTCCGAATCGGTATGCCACACCCTCATTTTCTCTTGCCAGTGACCGATTCTCATAGATGCTTGTCTATTGCCATTGGGCCCCAGCAACCTTACAAGAGCTAAATGATCGGTTCGCAAAGTGAACTTTCGGCCCCACAGAAGAACATGCCATTTTTCGATTGCATAAATAGGTGTATGCGTATGAAATGAGACAAATTTTGCTGAAAATTCGAGATAATGATTTTTTATCAGGAAAATTGATCTCATTCGATGTCGTTCCTCATACACAACGCCCACCTCACCGGCAATCATTGAATTCCGCGCGAATAATATTTTTGACCTTTCGAGGCGGAGAAATTGGTCACCAAAATTCGAACATTATCGTAAGTCTCGAACCTCTGCCCCGATAGTGCTAGACCCATTGCTGCGAGAACATGGTTGTCGGACGGGCATTTCATGAGCCTCCGTCGCAGTTTCCGTGAGGTGTAGACGAAAAATCAGCGTTTCCCGCAAATGAGCATTTTTCGGGTCAAAATCGGACATTATCATGAGTCGGAAATTTTTCAGACAGCGATGCGCGAATCAACTGCCTATCGGATATTCTGGCCCGATGATTGGTTCAAGAGATAGGGTATGTGAACTGTCTCCGCGTTCGCCGCGGCGGCGGCAGCGCGGGCTTTTCAAATTGTCTCATTTCATATGCATAGACCTGGGCATGCCAGGGCTTCCTTTTTTCCCTATAGCATACCTTCTTTGTGTTTCGGTCAAAGATGCCGATGAGAACGCCACTGGGAGTTCTTTGTCCGCGTGCTTCTGCAGAAAAACACTTCCGACGCCTATGTCGGACGCATCACATGCTACGATAATTTCTTAAACCGGGTCGAAGATTGCTAAGGGTTGCGCTTCTAGGATTCGCTCTTTGATTCGTCCGAACGCCGCTCGTTGTTCGTCCCCCTTGTCGAGGCTTCGTTCGCGTTATAAGATTCAAACGCGCACCGGGCCAGCATCCGTCGCAGATTGGCCACAAACTCCACGACTGACTCCCCTGGGAGTTGTCTCCGATTGCGGCATTCATACCTTGTAGCTGTACGGCCTTTTTGTCCGAGAAGCGCACTGTCAGTCGTACAAGCATTTTTTCGTAATTGCTTGGTTGTGGCTGACCCTCCTGAACGATGAACGATGAGGTTCACCGATTGCTCGCGAACCGCACGGTACTGCGCCTGTCCCTCGACTCCCAGACAGCACAGTAGAGGAGCAGCTTTCCTTTCGTCTTCCACGACGTCTCCATGTAGTTTCCGAAGACTCCAAACCGTTCTTCCCATGGAACTGCGGGCTCGCCGGGTGCCGGTAGAAACTGTGGTGGCGATGGAATATTTGCCATGATTTTTCCACTCGCACAGCAACTCAGAGTTCTGATTCACGAATCTGAGTTCCTTTGACTCCCTCTGCGGTTCAGGCTTGCCCTGAGAGTTTTTGAGCACCGAAATCTCAACGGTAGTCGACTGCGCCAATCGTAGTGGCCTCACGGAAAACACGTATGATCTCGGCCGTGTGCCGCTCGGGACTGGAGTTTATTAGACCAGTGTTTCCCAAACTGGGTTCCGTGGCGGTTTGCGCGGAACCCTAAAGTCTGCCTGCGGAACCCCTGCGGAACCCCTGCGGAACCCCTACGGAACCCCGTCGGAGCCCCTAGGGGTTCCGTGGAAGAAAAAGTTTGGGAACCACTGTATTAGACAACGGCTCTGCCGCCTTACCGGCAGAGGGCACGTCCGTCGGTGGACCGCGCCGAGACTAAACTCTAATACCTAATACACTACAGTTTGGCCCTTCTTAATCAACCAGGACTTTCCGAATATGTAGCCTCTGTGGCTAGCGGATCCGGATCAGGAGCCCAGGCTCAGGATGAACTGAAGGATTGGGAAAATGAATAACCCAGAACCGAAAGAGTAAACGCTCAGATATGCCTGCCCCTCCCGTATCCCACTTCTGAGACCAAATGCCCAAATGCTCGTTTGGTAGAACAATGACAACACAGTTTAAGACGTTGGTAGTCCAGGTCCACTCAGAACAAAACTATTTAGAATGAATTTTGGAACTGCTCGTTTTCTCACTTTTTTTCTATTGCCGCGCCGTCTCGTTCGGCGCTCTGGTGACTCGAGACACCTAATGTGTCTCCTAGCGCGCTATGGATTTCTCTGTAGTGATCGACGGCTGAAGCGGCGACGCCTCGAGAGGGTAATCCGAGTGGATCTGCGAATTATCGGATCACTTTTCATGGAGGTTGATTTCGCACCCAAAATCTGATAATTTGACTGATGGAATTATTCTTGTCCCACTGATGAGGCCCGATCCGATACCCGGTCCGCCACAGTTTGTCTTGTTCACGAGTGTGCTTCGATCCGGCTCGATGGGAATCGGAAGAAATGAAAAGACGAACTCCGGTGCTCCGTCCCG